TACAGACTTATTGATCTCAAGTCAGATTTTGACATTCTTACTCATACTTTGTAGTCTCTTATTCTAGGAGTAGTCCCAAAATTTCAGTGGACCAAATTCTGACATCCTTTATGATGCAGTCCATGGAGTTATTTGTTCCATTGTGATCAAGCTCGACAGAATCCAGCCCTCAGTCCTTTTAGTGGGAACGTTTCTGTTATCCTTACTGCCTTTGAGTAGAAACTTGTGTAGTCCTCTTACTAAAGGAGATTCTAACTTTTACTGGGAAGATCCTTTGTGCTACAATCTAGCCCTAGAGACTACAGCTCCCATGAGCCCTAGGGGAAAATGGGGGAATGGTGGCTCTTCCAGGCATGGAGAGAGAGCGTTAGGCTAGGCTCCATTTTGGAGAGAGGAGCCAGACTGGTGGTGGGGAGCCTTTTCCATCCCAGGAGCTGTTATGTTGCAGCTAGAGCCTGTTACTGCAAGCCTGCTGGGGCTTGGATCTTGCAGGCTGCTTCAGCGGCTGTTGATTGTCCCTGGAGGGGAGAGATACTGGCTGTACCTGTGGCTGGGAAGAGCCTACATAACCGTGCACAGGAAGTAATTGTGACATGCACAGGAAGTAACTGGGCAGTTTGTAAAAGTGCTGCCTGGGATGGAGCACAGAAGACAAACTGACTCCGGGTCCAGTGAGAGCCGTAGTGATCTGCCCAGGGAACCAGAGCTGTTGGCAGTTGGTGGGGCCTGCTCCTATGGCAGAGGGATTTTGCAGCTGGCTGCTCAGCTTGGACTGACGCACACAGAACCTGCACAGGGCTGTCTCCACTCCAGCTGCAGACCTTCAAGCGCGCCCACGCAAGTGTCTGGGACTCTGAATTCAGAGGCGGGCACGCTCTAGGGTAGGATAAATGATAGCAGTGTAAATGCAGATAAATAAGTTTCCTTTCTTTCTGTGTACTTTGTTAATTGATTTTATTCACTTTTAATCTGTTCAACCCTGTTTCTTTATGTTAAGTAAAGTAAGTAAAGGTATGTTAATTCTAATTTGATCACTTATATGTATATTATTTAAAATTGTTGTTTTAAAGTTAGATCTAGATTATTACGTGAATAATTTTATTCCTGGAGGCTCCCAAGACACACCATTAAGTGTGTACAGGGCACCGCTATTGAATATTCTTTTAGAAGCAAGGGACTGCAGCAAGGCAGTGGATAGGGAATCCAACTAAACAACATCACAACTGGGGTACTCAGGATTTCCTTTTACGTTCAAAACATCAGGTGCCCAGGCAAACCTGTGAGTGTGACCTGCTGCCGAGTAACCCAAGGAGGAAAAAGGGGGTTACACTTATAACCCTTGTATTCCTGTTTCAGCTAGTGGGAACACTTGCGCAGTAAGGTGAATGACTGACGATGGAGATGTTTGGCCCACTGTATGAACGGTATTACTTCCAGAATAAGAACTATACATGGATATCTTCTTGGCAGGAACTGATCTGTAAATTGAAAGTACTTCACATGGTATTTTGTAGTGAGTAAAGTTGGTATTGATAGAGACGAAATCTCGGTAATTGAATACTATATAAGTCTAGCATGCAAGGTGCTTCATTTGAAGCAAGGAAGAAAAAATCTATGAATTTTTTAAACAAAGAATTAAACTAGATAAAGAACATAAGTTGAATGGTCAGTTCTTACAAGTCAGCTGAGTAGCCCTAATGAAGTCACCAACATTACATACATCAGGGCTGCAAGATGGAACGCTGGATTTTGAGATAGTGCTGTCATTAAAAGGAAGAACATCCATGAAGGGAGGAATCAAAGGCTGTTAGTGTATTTCAGTGGTACAAACACAGGAAGCATGGCAGCCTGCCCTGATCACTAGGTATCCACATCCAGGAGACCTTTTTAAATCATTGCAGTTTCCAAAAACATCCTCATATTTACAAGGGTTGGCTGAAAATGAAACACAGAATGAGATTAGACAGTAAAGAAAATGGTTTAGGATATTTCCTTCTTGAAAAAGCATATTTTGACTAACTAAACATTTTTACTATCCATTTTCAGCACAGTTTTACTTATTCCCAAGTAAGGTTGTAAATGTCTAACTAGAGAATATATAGTTCAAGGCATTCTGTTGGGTAGAATAGTACTTTTAGCTTTATACAGCTTATTACAAGTTAAACTTCTCTTGTCTGGGGTTCTCTGGTATGGCAACATCTCTGGTCCGGCAGGCTTAGGGTTAGGGTTATGTCTGGCAGGATATAGCACAACAGTTTTTCACTCAAGTGATGTTTTTTTGCCAGAGCTATTGCCATAGCGACCATCCCACAGGCTCCTCTATCAGCAGACTTGCTGACAAATTAATCTTGCTCTTCTTCAAAAAAACCAACAAAAACACCAGCTATATCCTGTGATGGGGATTCTATTACATCCTTAGCAGCCATTGCCTGTGTTTCACTCTTCTTACAAAAGTGGCGAGGAGTCCTGTGGCACCTTATAGACTAACTGAAGTGTAGGAGCATAAGCTTTCGTGGGCAAAGACCCACTTCATCAGATGCATGCTCCTACACTTCAGTTAGTCTATAAGATGCCACAGGACTCCTCACCACTTTTTCAGATTCAGACTAACACGGCTACCCCTCTGATACTCTTCTTACAGTTAGAAATATTTTCCTAATATGTACATCTCTTTTAGGGTACATGTACATGGGACAGCTATTTCAAAATAGCATGTCTACACTGCAGGGAAGCCTCAAAATTAGTCCAGGGCAGGCTTCCCTAATATAGATGTGATATCTCAATTTAGCCTCAGGAGGCACTGGGGAGGAATAACTTAGAATGGCCCTGGTGAGAGGCTATTTTGAAATAGCAGCAGTGGAGCATCTACAAACGCTATATTTCGAAATAGCTATTTTGGAATAGGTGTTATTCCTCGTAGAATGAGATTTACAGATTTCAGAATAAGCCGTCCGTTATTTTGAAATTTTTTCAAAATAACAGAATGTCTGTGTTATTCTGTTATCTATGTGCTCACATTGTTATTTTGAAATAATGCCAGTTATCTCAAAATAACGGTATAGTGTAGCTGCACCCTTACTGGAAATTAAGCCAATTAATTCTTGTCCTATCTGAGCAGGATGTGGAGAACAATCAAGCATCATCTCCTTTATAACAAAATTGCATGTATTTGCAGACTATTATGTCCCCCTCAGTCTTTTCTTTGAGGGGGACATGATAATATTATGACATTTCCCAAACACAGCAGGTACCATCCTCCTCCAAGAGGCCCTTATGTAACACCTACAGGTGGAGCTGAGCTTGGGACCTCAGGACATAAGCCTCTACCACTTGAGCTATAAAGCCATCTGCCTCTCAGCTCAGGCTGTAGAGCAGACTCATTCTCTCTCTCTGTAAACCCTGTTCTACACTAACCCTTATTTCAAAACAACAAGAGGAATGTCCACACTACCAAACCCATTATTTGAAAATAACAGGCTGGTTATTTCAAAATCTGTAGTCCTGCTTTCCTTGGGGAATAACGCTTACTTTGAAATAGTTATTTCAAAATAGGGTTAGTATGGATGCTCCCTTGCTTGAAGCAAAAGAACAGGCCTAGAAATCAATCTAGGTCTTCTGCATGGACGTGCACAAGGCCAGTGCTTCAGCATGCTCCCAAACTGCATTTTGGAAGGTCACATGACACCTCTTTTGAAACGCTGTTAGATTGTAAAATGGAGTAACTCAGCTACCCCTCTGAAGCTTTTGTCCAAAACTAGTTCAGTTACAGGTCAGGCAGCTGACAGCATGTATAGTTTTTTGGTGTTTTGTAAACCAGTGTTTCTTAAATTGTGTTCTGTGGCACACAACAGAGTTCAAAATGAACATCCTTAAAGGGACAGGTGACTCCCCCTCTGCCCCCCCAATAACTTTCCCTCCAATCCTATTTTCTTTTAAGAAGGGGGAGGGGAAGTTCAGGGCCTA